GCAGGGAGCGCCCGCCCCCCCCCCCCCCCCCAAGTCTATAATCAAGACATGTTGCAGCCACAGTGTGGTAAGCAATGTACAGGTCAGGATTAGGGACAAGGCCTCATAAAACCTGGTCAACTGGCGAAAGCTTCACAGCAGGAGTGTTTGGTGGCCAAAGGTGACCAAAATCACTGTAGGTTGGCAACAGTAACCAAAGTTGTATAATTCTCTTTGTAGCAAGAGCAACGGCGGCTCTGGACATCACCTCAGACCCCAGTCTGGAAAGCCCCACAAGCAGTGCCCAGTGTCAGAGGCCAGTGTCACTTCCAGGCTTAGACCACAAACTGTCCAATCCAGTGAGCTCAGGATGCGATACAGCCCAGAAGCCCAGCTGAGGAAGACCATGCCTGAGAGCTGAGAGTTGGTGGGGAAATGCTCCAGCAGCTTGTTGGAGTCTTCATTGAGGAATCTGCTAGAAATCAATCAATCACAGGTCAGCCTTTAAAACAACAGATTTGAAAAAAAGACCTCTATCCTTCTAGGACACTTTCAAAACCTGAGGCATGCAGGGGAGTAGGAGGGGTTATCCTGGGCTGGCCATATAACCCATCAAATTCCTGTGTCCCACAGTGGACAAGAAATGAATAAAGAGGCAGCAAAGAAGGAGAGACAAAGCGCCAAACCAACATGTGGAAGCCGATTACTCAATGATGATGGTTACAGGAAATGGACCGTCAGTGACTAGCGGGAGGTGTCTAAAAAGACGACCAAAGAATAGAAAATAAAATGGAATCACTATGGAAATATTTCATCAACTGAGATCCACATCTCCGGCACATTGACTCCCACTCTGGATCTGAGGTCCGGTACACCCGCTGGGAGATGGAGCCGACTTTCCAAGAAGAAAGCGAGCCGCTTACTCCCCCTAATAGAGGCAAACATGGCTCAGACCGCGGCGTTCAGAGGTCTAGAAATAGATCTACAACCATAAATGACAGTACGTAGGAAGACAGAGCTATAGGTAGAACATCCGAATCATAGATCCATACAAACAGAGGGCCCGAATCATAGATCCATACAAGCAGAGATAGACATGAGGGCCCGAATCATAGATCCATACAAGCAGAGATAGACATGAGGGCCCGAATCATAGATCCATACAAGCAGAGATAGACATGAGGGCCCGAATCCTAGATCCATACAAGCAGAGATAGACATGAGGGCCCGAATCATAGATCCATACAAGCAGAGATAGACACGAGGGCCCGAATCATAGATCCATACAAGCAGAGATAGACATGAGGGCCCGAATCATAGATCCATACAAGCAGAGATAGACATGAGGGCCCGAATCATAGATCCATACAAGCAGAGATAGACATGAGGGCCCGAATCATAGATCCATACAAGCAGAGATAGACATGAGGGCCCGAATCATAGATCCATACAAGCAGAGATAGACATGAGGGCCCGAATCCTAGATCCATACAAGCAGAGATAGACATGAGGGCCCGAGTCATAGATCCATACAAGCAGACAACTTCCCCTCAGGTTAGACGTCTCCGTCCGCTGCTCTCATCAGGTGACATGTTCGGATTCCCTGTTAATGTATTATAAGTGACACATAATGGATGACCCACCTCTGGAAGACTCTGTAGCACGTCTTCAGCTGTCTCAGAGCCGTCGCCTCTCGTGAAGAAACTTTTTGGTGGAGAAAATCACAGATTTCTTCCAATTCCTCATTTGTCAGATCTCCGTAAGAACGAAAGTGAAAGGAGAGCGTGCTGAACTCAACCAGGACACCACTGCGGCCAGTACCACGGAAACCTGAGACACAGAAGGATGGCGGCTGATTATCCAATCATCAAATATCAGCTTCTAATAGTCCATAAAATCCCCACCATGGACGGCAAGGCTCTCTTAGACCGATCTCATGGGAAGATTAGGGATTTCCCTTCAACTTCAGTCCTGGAGGACAAATAACAGGGATACACACAGGAATAAACACACAGGAATAAAAAACTACCAGGGTTCTAACCCTTCCTCGCTCCAACCAATACTACACAATGGCTTCCGATAGTCTGCAGACAGAAGCCGCTTCCTAGGAGCCCCAGTCAAGGTGACGGTCCTTCTGCCATTGGGAAATGTACGAGTGCCCCACTACTAGACGTTACCTCCTTTGCTGGAAGAATTCCATTGCAGGTCGCGGAGAGCCCTCTTTACTGGATTGACTTCCCAGGCCATTGAATCTGCCACCTCCACCACATTGAACTCCACAGAACTGGCGTGCGTGTGATCAATACCAGACAGGCGTTCCCGAGCCAGAGCTACAGCCACGGGTGGACAGCTAAGGAGAAGATATAGATGTGTATATTCAGCTAATGGGGGCAAATTGTATACACACGTCAAACAAAGCACCGGAAGGGACACAGCAATATCACATGACACATATCTCAGTAAATTCACAGATGGAGAACATAAAAGATCCTAAAGTCTCTAAGAGGAATAAGGGGGCGCAATAAAGGGGCGCAATAAAGGGGCGCACAGAATGACTAAAGCTGGAAATATATTGTCTGCAATGATACTTACCCAGCATGCAGGACAATTATCAGTACTTGTGTGCAGACTGAGAGACGGGTGACAGCTTCTCATATCAAATCCTCCGGCATGGCAAGTCCAGGACACGCCCCCTGAGAGCACTTTCCATCCGCAACCAATCTGCTACTTCTAATGACACATTTGCAGTCTATTGGCTCTGGAAATGCTGCATTTTTCCACCCGCCATCTGTAAAATAATATTCCCCGTGCCGAAGATCCATGAATACAAAATGTAACCCACGAGATCCAACAGGTGACACTTTGCATGGCTGGTGACTCAATCCCAGCTGTCACATTATAATCAAGAACCAATCAGACTGGTTCCCAATCATGTGATCACTGAATCAGCTATGAGTGATCACATGCAGGCATGTCACCTCCAGCCCGCAGAGGAACAGCACCGTCACCTCCAGCCCGCAGAGGAACAGCGTCGTCACTTCCAGCCCGCAGAGGAACAGCGTCGTCACCTCCAGCCCGCAGAGGAACAGCGTCGTCACCTCCAGCCCGCAGAGGAACAGCGTCGCCACCTCCACCCCGCAGAGGAACAGCGTCGTCACCTCCAGCCCGCAGAGGAACAGCGTCGTCACCTCCAGCCCGCAGAGGCACCGCCAGAGGAACAGCGTCGGCACCGCCAGAGGAACAGCGTCGGCACCGCCAGAGGAACAGCGTCGGCACCGCCAGAGGAACAGCGTCGGCACCTCCAGCCTGCAGAGGAACACAGTCGTCACCTCCAGCCTACAGAGGAACACAGTCGTCACCTCCAGCCTACAGATGAACAGCACCACCTCCAGTCCAACTATGAACAGCACCACCTCCAGGCTGACTATGAACAGCACCACCTCCAGGCTGACTATGAACAGCACCACCTCCAGGCTGACTATGAACAGCACCACCTCCAGGCTGACTATGAACAGCACCACCTCCAGGCTGACTATGAACAGCACCACCTCCAGGCTGACTATGAACAGCACCACCTCCAGGCTGACTATGAACAGCACCACCTCCAGGCTGACTATGAACAGCACCACCTCCAGGCTGACTATGAACAGCACCACCTCCAGGCTGACTATGAACAGCACCACCTCCAGGCTGACTATGAACAGCACCACCTCCAGGCTGCAGAGGCTTTTATCTTGCCATCTACTGTATTTATTAAATTGTCAGATACATTTAGAGATTATAAACTATATAAAATGAATAAAACATTTGAAGGTACAAATAGGATTTCTCGACCCACCGTAAATCCTTTTTTCTAAATCCAGTAAAGGACACATGAATTCCGAAATTTTCAGGAAATCCAAAAGCAGTCCAACTGAGTGGTGGGCAACACAGTCAAAAAACAACTAACAGGCTCAATGAAGATAAAGTACAAGGGAGGGCCTGCAACTCGAAGCTAGCATCAGATGCGGCAGAAACGTCCATGTGGTAACATTTAGAGATTATGGGGTCTATTCACAAAGCTGCCGAGGGCAGCCGAGTGAATGACCAATCAGAAGTGAAGTGAGCCGAACACTGTTCGGCTATTCACTTCAGGCTGGTACGGCTGATTTCAGCCGTACATCGGCT